TGAACGAATTCTTTGTTATTGTTTATTGAGAAACTCCACAGCCAATCCAAGCCAATAATTTCCACATGTATCATTCAGTGAAAAGGGAAGCAAATTCTTTAAATTGTACAGCCATTCTTAATACATTCTTCAAATTGTGGAATATTCTCACCCTCCTTTTCCGAGGAACATTAAGTTCACTGCCCCCTAAGTTTTCTACTGAATCTTCCAAGTTGCTGTTGTCTCATAGATAGTCCTTAATGCACGCACGATGTTCAAGGCAGAGCTTGGCTGTAATCTTTACAGAAACAGATTGCCAGATTTTTCTACAGTGCTGTTAGATGGTTCGAACCACCAGCCTTTTGGGTGAGTAGCTCAGCACAAACTGTGCCCCCTGGTGGCCTCACATCTCCTACTACCAAATAATTGTTAAGTGCTGTGGAGTCAGTTCTGATTTATAAAAACCCTGTACAGGGTTTCTGCGGAGAGGCTGGTAGGTTTGAACCATCAACTTTAAGGTTAGCAGTCCAGTGCTTATCCCACAGTGACACCAAATAACTGGTTACTGACAAATAGTAATGAAGCCGTGATGGTGCTGTAGGATAAGCACTGATCTGCTAACCGCAAAGTTGGCAGCTCAAATCCACTGGCCACTCTGTAGGAGAAAGATGAGCTGTTCTACTCCCGTAAAGATGTATAGCCTCGGACCGCCCACAGAGGGTTGCTGTGAGTTGGAATCTACTGGACAGCAGTGAGTCTTTTGGTTTGGGGTCAAATTACAAGAACAGAGGGTCATGACTCATAAGTGTTTTCCCCACTCGAAGCTGTTGGGCAGTTTGTGAAGGGGCCATTGCTGCCAATGCTGCCCCATGCCCTGGTGTTAAAGGTCAGGCCCTGTGTGGTGTCCTTAGCCCAGAACTCAAGGTCACAGAGTCAGAGACGGCGGAAAAAGGCAAGGCCAAGAAAATCTGAAGCATGAAGCTTTTGCTTCCTGCGAGTGTCTGGGTTGTGTGTGCTTCCAATGCCGGTGGGCTAGGGTGCATGAAAACAGGAATGTGGGAAGGTGTCCTACAAAGATGGCAAACTGACCAGGCCACTTCCTGATTCAGGGATGGGGAAGGCAGACTGGTTAGGGCGGCGGGAGAGTCTCAGACTGTCTCAGAGAAACTAAATTGCAGTGCAAGCTGCCAGGAGGGGACATAGAGGACTCCAGAAACTGCAGGAACAGCAGGACTGAGTGGAGCCAGGTGAGGGAAAGGACAGCCGACAGCTGAGGGAGGAGATGGCTTCAGGCTCCGGGAGGTGCAGGACTGAGGGGGGAGGGAGGTCTGGAAGTGGAAGAAGGGAGGGGCTGGCGAAGCAGGAAGTAAGCTAGAGTAATAAACAGCCTGTCACTTCACATTCATGGATCACATTGGACCAAACCAAACCGCAATGGTAACTTGGTCTGGGATGGCGATTCTCCTGCTGGACGTGGGCTTTTCTGGGGCCTCCTTAGGGGTCTTCTGAGGTTTTCCCTTCTGAAGGCCTGCTGAGGGCTTGCCCCATGAGCCATGCCCTGAGGCCTGCAGGAGGAATAACTGGCGGGCCACAGAGATGTCTCTAGAGAAGAACCCTGAAATCTCTCTGCCCTTCATAGGCTGGGGGCGGGGTGGGGCACCAGAGAGCTGAGGGAAGCACAAAGAAGTGACAGCAAGAATGACAAAAGCAAGGAGAGTGAGGACAAGACAGAGAAAGCGAGCTACCCCCAGGCAGGTTGTGGGGTCCTGCTCACAACCTCCGGGGCATGAATGTCAGGTCCATAGAATCTGGGTCAGGTCACTTTTAGGGTAACCAAGTGGAGGTGGGGCATGGGATGAACTCAAGACCAGGGTAAACAGGGGAAGCTAGATACCAGCTCATCAAATCTGACCCAGCAGCCATCTCTCGCCTTGGAAGAGGTACCCATGCAGCCTGCCATGCCTAGCCCTGCTGTGGGGGAACGGAGGTGGGCAGAGTGTGTACTGGTGCTTAATAATTCAAGGCTTTTTCTATTTTTACAGGTTCTCTGGCAGTGGGCAGACAGCAGAAGTCTAGGCCCTCACTTGTCCCAACCACCTCCCTCGACTGGGACAGAATGGTATCAAAGTCAAACATTATCGGCATGTCGGGGTCCATCCTCAGGGCAGGAAAAGCAGTCATGGAGCAGGAGCCAGAGGGATCAGCTGAGAAAACCACTTCCTGGGTCTCTTAGAGGCAAACAGGGAGTAGCTAGGCAGAAGAGACTTGGGGTATAGAGAAGAGGGAGACAGTGGGCATCTTACACATCCTCATGCCAACTTCCAGCTCTTCATGCCTGGTCCTCCTGGGGGTAGTGCCTCAATAGCTGTGCCTAGGACCTCTTCTGGCACCCACTTCCCAGCCCCATGTTCTACTTTCACGGTTCCATGCCTTGATGCGAACATCCCCACCACTTTGAACCTCCCTTCCTCCTCTTCCTGGTGATTCCCAAGTCATCCTCCAGCTCAAAGGGGACTCTGCATCCCCATTCAGAGCCCTGGTGGTACAGGGATGTAAATGGTAGGTTGCTCGCTAATCATAAGGTCAGCACTTTGTACCCATCACTCACTCCTTGGGAGAAAGATGAGGTTATCTGTTCCCATAAAGACTTATGACCTCGGAAAGCCCTATGGGGCAGTTCTAGTCTGTGCCATAGGGTAACTGTGAGAGAGAATTGAGTTGATGGCAGTGGATTTAGGGTTCTGAGCCTTGGAGCTCTCTTGTCTGTCGCCGGGCCAATGACTGCAAGAATCCCTCCCACGGCATCCCAGTTGTTCCTTGTTCTCATTGCCAGCTCCTCTGGAATGTGGCATCTCTTGAGGACAAGCGCTGTCCCCTCTGGCTCAGTGCATCATCTGGTCCATGGAGCACAGCCAGTTGTTTAGACAAATGCTCCAGTTTCTCGGAGCCTGTCTCATTCTGCGGCTCTCCTTATCCCTGGGTTCTGGCTACTCCTGGGGCTGCCCGACTGAGAAAAACTGCTGCAGGCCAGGCCATTAGGGGTCATCTTCACCCCAGCCCAGAGCATGGCCATCTAGCTCGCCTGAAATCACAATACCTCTCTCTTTCCCTCTCAGGAAGCAGCCTGTCTCCCATCCACATTCCCCAGCTCCTTACTCCCACATCTGGGCCAGGCTCGGTGCCAGAGCCCTCATTAGGAGTGCAGGAGTTAAAGAGAAAGCCACCATCAATGGAGTCATCAGCTTCTCGTCAGTGAACTCTGCCTCCAGTGTTCCCTCTAGACCCTCCCCCGCCCCCCCTGCATCCCACACCCACGATGCAGGACCACCAATACTTCTTGACAAACCAGCCTCCTTCATCAGCCCCCAGCACCTACAGGGCACCCAGAGAGGTATGGCTGTCCCCAGCTCCTAGGATGGTGCCTGACACTAAAGTGGAAGTTTTGGGGTACTACCTAGGATGGGGGGAGTGCTGGTGTGGCGCTGTGGGATAAAGCACTGGACCCCAAGGTCAATTTAAACCACAAAGTTGGTGGTTCAAACTCACCAGCCACTCCTTGGAAACAGGGTGACTAGGAGTCAGAACCGTCTTGACAGCAGTTGATAACAACCTAGGATGGTGAGTCTTAGTGTGGTGCTGCAGGATAAAGAACTGGAACAAAAGGTCGGCGGTTCAAACCCACCAGCCGCTCCTTGGAAATTCTAGATAAGGTCACTATGACTTGGAACTGACTCAACAGCACTTAACAACAACAACCTAGGATGAAGGAAAGGGTGGTCCCAGCCAGTGTTGGGCAAGAGTTAGGGCACTGAGCATGTCAGCAAACCCAGCCCCACACTGGTCCTGAATATGATTGTATTCACAGGCCTGAAAACAAGGGCAGGGGCTCATTGGCTGTGTCTGGCTACTTAGGGGAGTGATTCAGGCTCAGGCAACAAAGGCTTCAGGATCTGGGGAGAGGCCACCCCAAAGGAGACCCAGATGGCCTAAGGGTACAAAGTGTGCCCCACCTGGGTCCACACCCCTTGCTGGCTGGGTGACTGGGAAAGTCATGCTCAGAGGGCAGGTTCCCCAGATCCCTCCAGCTCTGACAATCCTAGACCCAGGGACTTTGGGAAGAACAGGGCGGATCCACTCCATTCCAGCCAGCCTTGGCTCTGACCCTTTCCAGCCTCCTCCTCCTCCTTCCTGTGCCGACCGCCCCGCCCCTACTTGCTGTGATGTCACTTCAGCCACCTCATCACTAGCGTCTAACCCCTCCAGCCATCCTCACTGCTCTCAGATGGGGGGGGGGGATAGGGGGGTGCCGATGGCTACCTATCCTCACAGGCCAAACCCATGACCCCTCCAAACCATGGGCAGGATAGAGAAGGGCTCAGCAGGGTGAGAGCCAGACAACTCCTCCCCACTAAATTCAGACCCCTTTCAAGAGCGGTCGTTGCACCTCCTCCCTGGGTGGGGCTGAGAGAGTTGGGGAAACTTTTTGGGAGTCTTATTTGTTGTTGTTAAGTGTCTTCGAGTTGGTTCTGACTCATAGCGACCCAGTATAGGTTTCCAAGAGCGGCTGATGGGTTTGAACTGGCAACCTTCAGTTACCAGTTCAGTGCTTAGCCTAGAGCTCAGAAATCCTAAGGTCATATAGACCACCCCCAACGCACACCACCCTCCCGACAAAACGTTCGAAAGTAGCCACTTCCGATATCCTAACACTGCGCAGCGGGAATCCAGGTCTCCCTGGATACTGGGGGGCACCCAGGCAGTTACTGCCTCTGATGGGAGAAGGATTGGGGATGGGTGATGGATGCCCCCGCCGCCTGGGGAAAAAGGATAAGACACGCCCCCCACTTTTGCAGGTCAGACCATCGGCTTCCCGGGCGCGCCCCTCTCCAATTCCCATTCTCTGGATGTATCACTCCTCCGAGTCCGGCGCGCCCTGCCTTTGCCGAGGTGCTGCCGCCCAACAATGGAGCAGCGGGCAGGGGTCGCGGGCACACCCCGCTTTCCCATCCCCCAATGCTCACCCCGCTCTAGGTCCTGCTGGTCGTACCAGGGCTCCTCTTCTTCCGCGGCAAAGTCCTCCATGCCGGGGGATCTCCGCATGGCCCAGCGGGCGGCGGCGGGCGCTGCAGCGGCGGCCTCAGGGCCGGGGCACGGGGCCCAGGACAATGCGGTGGCGGGCCGGGCCTCCAGCGGCGCACGCTTGGGCTGCGGCGCCCCTGTGTGCGCCGCGCCCCCTCGCCATCGGCTGCCGGTCGGGCGCCCACGCGGGCCTGGCGCCGCCTCGATCCCCACCGGCCAGGGTCCCGCGGAGTCCGGGGACTGGGGGGCTGCCGCACAAAGGGCGCGGGGCGGGGACGGCGGGAGGGACGCGACACAAAAGGATCCGGGCGGACCGGTCGGTCTGGGGGCTGTCAGTGCTCGGGTGCCGCAACCGGTGCCCCCTGCCCAGCTCCGGCCGGCGCAGCCCCCCGCCCGTCAGGCGCAACCAAGAGAAGCTACTGCATCTTCACAGGGTCCGCCTGCAGTTTGCCGGACTGCCCGCCTATGGGGCGGGGCCTACGCTACCGACCAATCAGGAGGTGTGTGCATAGATAGGCGGGGCCAAGGGCAGAGTCTCTCCCTGAGGCCCTGGTCCTGCTATTCTGGATCAACCCATGGTCCTCCTTACCTCCCTCCTGTACTCTCATAGTCTCCAGAACTGAAATTATTTTATTTTATTTATGTCTCGCTCCCTACATCTCCTAAAGGCAGAGCCTTTCCTTTTCACAACGGGCTTCTCAGCCCAGATCTGTTGAGACTTTCCTTGGGGCTTTTTGAATGAATGTTAATTTACAATGTACACTTAAGAATTAGTGTGCAAATATCTGTGAAGGGAAACAGCAAGTGGGGAGTGGCGAAGTTTGAGGGCGTGTTATCTGCATTCTAGGTACTGTTTCCCTCTTCTTGGGACCCATATCCTATAGCCGATTATATCCATTAAGACTAATGTTTACACGGTTTCACCTATCTAAACATTCGTTCCTTAAGGAGTTTGCAGACTCAAACATTGATGTGAACTCTTTTTTATTGACAAACCGTGTGCCTGGTACTGTTGAGGAGTTCTGAGTATATCCAATTCTGAATATACGTTGCAATATATTCAGCAATGGGCTTGTATCCAGAATATAGTAAGGACCCCTGCAAATCAATAAGAAAAAGGGAGAGAACTTAGAAAAATAAGAGCTTTGCCTGACTATTTCTAACTGATCCAATAAACATAGGACAAGGCGCTCAAATTCTTGAGTTAGTAGGGAAATACTAATTAAAACCTCAGTGATGTGCTACTTCCTACCCAACAGAATGACTAAAATAAAAAGACATAAAATACCTAGTATTGGGAAGAATGGGGAGCAAATGGAACTCCCACACACGTTGGTGGGAAAGGACCTTAGAAGACTGCTTAATGATATCCTTGAGAGCTGAAAATGGGCCCTCCTGCAGGGTATATTTCCCCTGAGATGGATACTGGCATGCAGGAAATTGATGAAGTGACATTCTTGGGATCAACATCATAGGGGAAGGAAAAGAGATAGGCTTGGCCAGTGGTAGAAGATGGGTTGGGATGTAACCTCAACAAAAGGCTTACCTGGTCCCTGGAGGATTCTGAATCTGGGTGAGTCTTCTAAGCTATCCCAAGTGGTAAGAGAAGGAGGTTTATATTTCCCAGCCCAGACACACATCACCCAGTCTCTGGATGGATGTAAGCTGCCCCTGGGAAGCAGGTGTGACCTTGGGAAATGGAGGGAGAATAATTCTCCCTGAGTGTTAACCACTAAGAATTGTCAGCCAGCAGCAGCAACCCCAGCAGTTGGGAAATAGGTCTTTTGGTTCTAAGGGAGGTTGCAGCATCCATTACAAGCGTATGTAAGCATATCCTGTTGTTAGGTGCCCTTGAGTCCGTTCCAACTCATACAACAGGATGAAACACTTCCCTGTCCTGCATCATCCTCACAATTGATACGTTTGAGTCCACTGGTGAAGCCACCGTGTCAAGCCATCTCACTGAGGATCGTCCTCTCTTTCCCTGACCCTTGATTAACTCCTTTTCCAAGGTCTGGTCCCTCATGATAACATGTTCAAAATACATGAGACAGTCTCGCCCTCCTCACTTCTAAGAGGCATTCTGGTTGTACTTCTTCCAAGACAGATTTGTTTGTTCTTTTGGAAGTTCCTGGTACTTTCTTCACCAACATTGTCATCCAAATGCATCAATTCTTCTCTGATCTTTCTTATTCACTGTCCAGCTTTCACATCTTTCTTATTCACTGTCCAGCTTTCACATGCTTATGAGGCTTGGGTCAGGCCCATCTTAGTCCCCAAGCAACATCTTTGCTCTTGAATACTTTTTTTTTTTTTTAACTTAACAAGGATTTATTCACAGGAATACATATAAGTAGAGAAAAACAACAGAAAAGCTAAACAAATGAAATGAAGAGGATCCAAACCAACTTCCATTCTGTAGCTTTTAACTTGCACCCTGTGTGCACATAATATCTAGGGCCCAGAGGGCCACCAACACACGCCAGTACAGTGTAGGAATCCTGCATTACATCCATTAACTAAAACTTATCTTTAAGATCATGCTTTGAACAGAAAAAGAAAGCTTAGAAGGCAATATGTTGAGTGGGAATAAACATTGTACTATAGCAATCATGTCTTCAACTTCTGCAACTGTCTTTATGTGCCAACTAACATTTATGCAGCCTTTTCACCATGTCATTGAAGTTTTAGAAGTTTTGATAAAATCACTAGTAGTATATGTTGTTGTTGTTGTTAAGTGCCGTCGAGTCGGTTTTGACCCATAGCGACCCTGTACAGGGTTTCCGAGGGTGTAAATCTTTACGGGAGTAGAAAGTCTCATCTTTCTCCCGCGGAGCAGCTGGTAGTTTCAAACCGCTGACCTTAAGGTTCGCAGCCCAATTCATAAACCACTACGCTACCAGAGCTCCTAGTAGTATATAACCATGCAGAAAGCACATCACACTGACAGCACAGAGCCAAAGATTTTGCACACGTATATCAGCTTTCCACATTGTGCAGGTTACATACAATACAGTATCAATGTTATTCCTAAGATTTCCTAAAAAGAGATTTCAAGGCCTAGCTGCAAACTACAGTACTTTATTATCTATATTCTTAATAAAAATAAAATCCACAAATCTTAAAAAGGAATTTAAATTGGTAAACTGCAACACAAAATTGGTGCAACATAGGTAAATGAATACCAATCTCACTCTATGTGATGCAAGCATGCTACTTTCTCACGAATTTAAATTACTTTCAATCACTATGTGCCCGAATGCATGCCTGAACCTTAAACTGCACATTAAAATGTCTTGGCCTAGAAATTAAATCTAATGAAGTACAACCATCAAATTATATCCACTACATTAATGTTTTAATGTAAAATTAAGACGTCAATCTTTAGTTTGAGATGCCCAACCCCATTTATTCCTCCCTCCCTGCCCACCCCACAAAGGTAAAGGAGTGACTCATTTGGCATTTCACAGGGTGTTTCATTGTTTAAATTTGTTTCATTTTATTTCCAACTTTTTCTGGGGTACCTTAAATTGTAACTTCCAAGAACCTGCTTCTTACTGTCTTACTGTGGGTGCAAGCTGACTTAACTCTTAATGGCTTCATTTGTGTAGTTCTTCATCAGCATGTGTAACAGTCTTGAATACTTTAAATAGGTCTTTTACAGCAGATTTGCTTGTGATTTCCTGATCGCTGCTTCTATGAGCTTTGATTGTGAACCCAAGCAAAATTCAATCTTAGATAACTTCAATCTTTTCTCTATTTATCATAATATTGTTTATTGGTCCAGTTTGAGGATTTCTGTTTTCTTTACATTGAGTTGTAATCTATACTGAAGGCTCTTTGTTCTTCATCAGTAAGTGCTTCGAGTCTTCTTAACAACCAGCAAGCAAAGTTGTGTCATGTGCATATCACAAGTTGTTAATATGCTTTCCTCCAACCCTGATGTCTCATGCTTTTGTCACACAGTCCAACGTCTTGGATTCTTTGCTCAGCATACCAATTGAATAAGTATGGTGAAAAGATACAACCCTTATGTACACTGCTGATTTTAAATCATGCACTATCTCTGTGTTTTATTAGAATCACTGCCTCTTGATCAATATATAGATTCAGCATGAGTACAATTGTTTTGGAATTCCCATTTTTTGCAACATTATTCATTGTTTATGATGATCCATACAGTCCAATATCTTTGCATAGTCAATAAAACACAAGTAAGCATCTTTCTGGTATTCTCTGCTTTCAGCCAAGATCCATGTGATGTCAGCAGTGATAGCTCTTGTCCTTTCCTAAATCTGGCTTAAATTCCTGGCAGCTCTGTCCATGTAATGCTACAACCATTTAAAAATTATCTGCAGCAAAATTTTACTTGTGTGTGATATCAATGACATTGTTTGATAATCTTCACATTCTGTAGAGTCACCTTTCTTTGGAACGGGCACAAATGTGAATTTCTTCCAGTCAGTTGGTTAGATATCTGTCTTCCAAATTTCTTGCTATAGACTAGTGAGTGTTTCCAATGCTGCATCAGCTTGTTGCAACATTTCGGTTGGTATTCGGTCAATTCTTAGAGCTTGTTTTTCGCTAATGAATTCTGTGCAGTTTGGGCTTCTTCCTTCAATACCATAAATTCTTGATCACATGCTATCTTCTGAAATGGGTGAATGTTGACCAATTCTTTTTGGTGCAGTGACTCTGCGTATTCCTTCCATCTGTTTTTGGGGCTTCCTGTTATTCAGTATTATGGTAATGTTGTTGCTAAGTGCCGTCGAGTTGGTTCTGACCCATAATGACCATGTATAGGTTTCCAAGGAACGCCTGATGAGCTTGAACCGCTGACCTTACAGTTCAAACTGACTTTGCAGTCCAGCACATTAGCCCACAGCACCACACCAGGACTCCCATAGAATCTTTCAACATTGGTAGTTGAGGCTTGAGTTTTTCTTCAGTTCTTTCAGCTTGAGAAATGCTAAGCATGTCCTTCCCTTTTGATTTTCTAACTCCAGGTCTTTGTACATTTC